AACTACTGACATATAAATGAGTCTCTTTGGAGGCAAAAATAAATTCAGCGCTGAATTTTCCAAGAGTTAGGAAAGCTTTCAGGACTCTAGAAAAGTTAACTCTATTTTTAGATGACTTTATCAATTAGTGGGGGGGTTATGTGTTTTTTTTTCATTCCATATTAATGCAGAGGATAAGGATTACAACTGATTAAAGTCCTTTGGGGAGTTTTATCCTGCAGTTTATGGCTCTGTGCTCTGTGTTGTCCCGTTCTGGGGAGCTCCACCTGCACAGGGCCAGGCAGAGGGACAAGGATGGGTGTGTGTTCCCTGTCGTGGTTCCACAGGGATCATCCAGCAATCCCCCTGGGAGCTCCCATTCCCTGGGGAGCTTTCCCAGTGCTCCTTCCACCCTCTGGGGGAAAACCTCTCCTGATCTCCAGCCCCAGGGTCCTGTCCCTGTCCCAGGGAGCACAGAGCCAGGGACAGAGTCTGTTCCTTGTCACAGGGGGATTCCTCCTCCTGGAAAATCCCCTCCCTTGCCTCCCCTCCTCCTTCAGCCGGGACAGGACCTGAAGAAAAGTCTTGTATTATTCTATCTTGATTTTTGTAGCACGTGCCCAGTGTCCCAGAGCAAACCTGTCTAACTACAAGGAGCTCCTCAGGCTTTGTATCCCTCCTGGGGAGTGCAGGAATTCCTGCACCAGGCAGCAGAACAGAACAGAACAGACAATTCTGTGCCAAGGGCTGTGGTTTTCTGCTGCACTCAGGAGTGTCAGAGAGACCCTCCGTGCCCTGGGGCTGTCACCGAGGGTGGCACTGGGCATCCACAGACCCCTCCAGGGCCACCGGGAACAAGGCAGGGAGCTCTGTTCACACCCTTCTTTTAGCACCTTAATTGTCATCGTTAAAGCTTTACAGAGTTGAGACTCCGAGGTGTGGCTGGAAAAGGAAGATGGGCTCAATTTGCTGGGTTTGGATATAGAAAGTATTTTAAAGAATAATAATTTCATAGCGGTCATGTCCAGTGCAGCCTGGGCAAGGTTTGGCTCTCCCCAGCTCGGGGCAGGTGAGTTACCTGCAGGGCAGAGATGCTGCAGATCTCTGCTCCTCCGGCCAGGACAGGGCACGGTTAAAGCCTGACTCTGCTGCTTGTTAGGAGTTCTCTGACTCATCGGTCTTTCAGATTCTCCGCTCGCTCTTAAAATTGAAAACAACCGATCTCTGACTAAGCTGAGCCTCGCTGTCAAAAGCAGATCAGTCCTTGTTTACTCTGTTTTTAAAGACAGCCCTTCCCTTAAAGAACTATATAGGTGTGTAGGGAATATTCTTAGGAAGAATATTCTTAGGAAAGCCAGTTTAATATTTAATTAGAGGGCTGAGAACTCGCACCGCTTGTTTTTAGGGTGAACGGGTCACCCCAGTGCCGCTGCAGCCGCTTCCCTGCCTTACGGAAAGCTTTGCCTGGCCCCGGCTGAAGCTTTGGCTGCCGCAGAGCCAGGTTTGTGTGGCTCAGACTCACTCGGGACCTTGCTGGCCGTTCATTCCCGCAGCCCCGGGGCCAGCCCGTCGCCATCCCCGCTGCCCGGAGCGATCGTGCCGGCCTTACCGCGGGGCACATCCACCTGGTGCCCCCGTCCCACGCTCTGCCAGTAGCTCAGCAGCCGCTCCTGCTCCTCGTCCTCCATGCGCTCGGCCGCCTCCTCCTCCAGGCTGCTGCCGTGGCTGTGG